TTGAGAAGAGAGAGGGAGGAATAGAAGTTAATGTTTATTACTTCACTCGATGATTATGAATAAACAAAAGCCACATATTTATAGTGAAAGAGAAAAGCAACAATGCTAAAGTTTAGGAAGTAATTAGAGGCCATGATTCCATGTACTCCATTTCACGTAGTGCTATGCATGCATCCACGTTCACACACCTCCTTTTATTTTTTAACAAATTAACTGCTAACTACTTGGTTTAATATATTACTAATAATAATAATAGCATTATTATTATTATTATAACATTGCCTCCTTTAAACCAAGTTGGATATATTGGTCATCACAATTTCCTTCTTCAATTTAAGAAATGTCTTCGTCTTCAAGTTGGATATACTGACTTGTATTTCGTTCTGTAAACCCACTTTACTCCAATTGGCTTCTTCCCAGGAGGTAAATCTGTGAACTCCCAGGTACTATTTTTTTCAATGGCACGTATCTCCCCATCCATCGCCTTAAGCCAATGAATTTCTGTAGCAGCCTTCTCAAAAGTTAAAGGATCACAATCTGCAAAGAGAGCAAATTGAATAATCTCTTCATCAGACAGGTCATTATCTTGACCCAAAACATAATCTTGCAAGCGAGCTGGTAAGTGGCGCTCGCGCTGAGATCGTCGAACTGACGATTCTGGCTGTGAAGGAGACTGGACATTATCTGAAATCGGTTGCTCTTCAATAATATTTTCAACAGCAGTAATAACAACTGAACTTTCATCTTTAGCTAACCAATCCCAGGCACCATATTCATCAAAAGTGACATCACGACTTATAACAACCTTTTTAGTTTCAGGATTGTATAGTTTATAAGCCTTTGAAGCGTCACTATAACCAATGAATATGCATTTCTCACCTTTATCATCCAACTTCTTTCTCAATGGATCTGGCACATGTGCATATGCCAAACATCCAAAAACCTTGAGATATTTGATAGAGGGTTTTCTCCCACTCCAAGCTTCTTCGGGCGTCTTATCATGGACACTCTTAGTTGGACACCTATTCAACACATAGACAGCACAAGCAACAGCTTCTGCCCAAAAAGGTTTAGGCAGATCCTTGGATTTCAACATGCACCTTACCATATCCATGATAGACCTATTCTTCTTCTCAGCCACTCCGTTTTGTTGTGGAGTGTATCTAGCTGTCATCTGATGTTGAATACCCTTCTTTTTCATAAAATCATCACAGGCAATATATTCTGTACCTCTATCAGTTCTCAAGATTTTAATTTCATAACCACTCTGCTTTTCAACAAAAGCCTTAAATTGTTTGAAAACATCACATGCTTCAGACTTTTGCTTCAGAAAGTAAACACATGTTTTCCTACTGAAATCATCAATGAAAGTAATAAAGTACTTACAACCTCCATGTGAGGGAACCTCCAACGAACATAGGTCTGAGTGAATGATCTCCAACTGTTTTGTAGCTCTCCTTGACTTGCCCATGGGAAAGGGATCTCTATGTTTCTTCCCAATCACACAAATCTCACATATACGATCAGGGACATTCACAACAGGTAAATCAAAAACAAGTTCCTTTCTCGCAAGATAGTGTAATCCAGAAAAATGAAAATGCTCAAACCGCATATGCCATAACCAATTATCATCACAAACTTCAGAATTAAAGCAAGCAAGGAGAGTATGCTTAATTTTCAAAGGAAATAGTCGATTTTGAGACATATTTACCTTTGCAATCAAAACTCCTTTAGCATCTTCAATAGTACAACACCCCTGAGCAATATGTATCTTATATCCTTTTTCTGACAACTGACCCAAACTCAACAAATTTTGGTGTAGTTCAGGAACATAGAACACATCGGATATAAAATTGTGAGTACCATCCTTCAACTGAATAGAGATTTTACCTTTTTCCAAAATTGGCACTTTTGACTTATTGCCAAATGTCACTTCAGACCGGACTGATTCATCCAGTTCAGAAAACAATTCTTTCTTCCCACACATATGGTTACTACACCCAGTATCCAAGAACCATATGTTCTTATCTGCAGAAAAACTATCGCTGGCTAAAAGTAAAGTTTCAGAACTCTCACCAGACTTTTCAGCAGTGTTTTCAGCAATGTTTGCTTGATTTCCACGATTGTTGTCCTCATTATACCAACAATCTGCAATCTTGTGCCCATACTTGCCACAATTGTAGCAATGAAATGGAAATTTACCTTGTTTGGTATTACCTCCACCTCTTCCTTGGTTGGAGTTACCACGTCCTCCTCCTTGGTTGAAGTTACCACGACCTCTTCCACCAGAACCTCCTCTTCCTCTTCCACGACCTCTACCAGATCCTCCACCTCTTTGATTAGTGCCAGTCACATTAAGGGTGACTTGACTCTTCAAAGCTTCTTCTGCTAGTGGTTCCGATTTTGACGCAATCCTGTCAATATGACTTTCTACCATACCTTTCAACTCTGCAATTGATAAGAGCTCAGTTTTGTGTGACTCTGTGATTGAAGCCACCACATGGTCATACTTCATCGGCATAGTTCGAAGAACTTTTTCAACCACTGCACCATCTTCAATTGTATCTCCGTATAACCTCATCTTATTCACCATATCAATAAGACGAGTGAAATACACATCTACTGTTTCTGTAGAGGTCATCTCACAATTATCGTACAACCTTCTCAACGACTGCAACTTAGACTTCTGTGCCCGATCGACTCCTTTGTGTGACACCTTTAAGATGTCCCAAGCTTGTTTTGCTGTTTGAGCACGAGCTAATTGCCCAAAAATGGAATAATGAACACTTTGGTGAATCTGACCCAAGGCCAATTTATCTCGCCGTATAGCGCCTGCATCAGCTCCTTCGGGTAGACCGGGATCAACAAAGCTCCAAAGATTTTGAGCTTGCAAATGTGTGGACATCATAATTTGTCAATAATTGTAATCGAGTTTTCCGTCCAATTTGGGACCCGTCCATACAATATTGAAATTTGCAGCCATATTTCACTACGAACAATATCTCGGGGTTGAAAGGTTGACTGGCTCTGATACCAAATGTAAGATATATTAAATATAATATATTTAATATAATATATATTAAATATAATATAATATATCTATAATATATATTAAATATAATATCTATATATTATATTTATATATTGAGAAGAGAGAGAGAGAGGAATAGAAGTTAATGTTTATTACTTCACTTGATGATTATGAATAAACAAAAGCCACATATTTATAGTGAAAGAGAAAAGCAACAATGCTAAAGTTTAGGAAGTAATTAGAGGCCATGATTCCATGTACTCCATTTCACGTAGTGCTATGCATGCATCCACGTTCACACACCTCCTTTTATTTTTTAAAAAATTAACTGCTAACTACTTGGTTTAATATATTACTAATAATAATAATAGCATTATTATTATTATAACAATGAGGGATGTAGTGGTAGTACATGCATGTACAATGTTGTTGTAACATTAAGATTAGATTCTTTCATGACATTGGTATATAGCAGAGGTGAATTAAATGAGTGCGAATGGGAGTGATCCATTAATCAACCTATATAAAAGACAAGATCCATATGGAATACATATATATACATATATGTATATCAAAAGTATTCCACCCAGGTAAAAAGGTAGCCCCTTCCATATTTATGTTTGTCAAATGTTTTAAACTTAGTCTTGGTCTGTCCCACCCACTCCCAATATTGTCCCACATTTCAACGTATGACTTTCACGTTTCATAGTGTTTTTGTTAGCCATGAGAAATTGAGAATACCATTTCAAAAGGGTTAAGCTTTTTTTTTTTTTTTTTTTTAAATATAAAAATAAAAATGGGCGGGGCAAAGGTCTAAACAACAAACAATATAAATTGTCCCTTTTGCCCTTCATTTTAACACTCACTTAACACCAAAGCTAACGGAGGACCATTTTGACTTAAAATTCAACCTTGGGGGACTACTCTGGGTGCAATTAAAAGTTAACTCATTTGAGAAAAGGCTATAGTTGGAGGGCCATTTTGAGAATTAATTCATATATATATACACAAATATGAAATTTAATTTTTTTAAAAATTAATTCCAACCAATTTTGGTACAAAATAAAAAATAATATATATACAAAATATATATGAACGAAAATAGAGATTTATTTTACTGAAAAATAATCTCATCAAAACTAGTACAATGGATTTAATTTTTACGAATATATATTGGCTCTGTTTGGCAGAGCTTATTTAGGAGCTTATACCTTATTTTAAGCTACTAATAAGCTATAAGCTCTGTTTGGTAATGTTCCTAAAATAAGCTCCTAGCTTAAGATAAGAGCTTATTTTGGAACGCTACCTAAGGTAGCGTTTCAAAATAAGCTCCTAGCTTCCTAACTTTTTTTTTTTTTTTATATCTTTATCCTTATTATTTTAAAGGAATGACATAATTTACCCTCCCCAATTAAAACCTTTTTTCTCTTCTCCTTTATCCGTAACTTTCACCGCAAATATTATTATTATTATTATTATTATTATTATTATTATTATTATTATTATTATTATTTTTGAAGAGATTATTATTATTATTATCATTATTATTATTAATATTATTATTATTATTATTATTATTATTATTATTGAAGAGATTATTATTATTATTATTATTATTATTATTATTATTAGATTTGCAACAATATTGCTACTTCATTATGAGATGCTAGATCATGATTATGCTAATAGTTTTATTTCAAAATGTTAAATTTTAATATGTAAACAAACTAATTTAAATTTTACGAAAATGTCCTTTTTAGTCTTTTTACATTTATCAGCTTATCAAAAAACTAATTTTACTAAATACTTTCAATCATAACAGTTAGCTTAATAGCTCTTTAGTTTTCAGCTCCGAGCTTATAGCTTTTCATATTTCAGCTCCTAGCTTATAGTTTTTCAGCTAAATTTGCCAAACAGAGCCATAATGGTACAACGGAGCCCTAATTCCGGTGGGATTAAAGCGGCGTAGTAGTAGTAGCCGTTAATGGAAGCCCTGGCGCGGCCTTTTTGAAATTCAGAATTTATTACTCCCTAACAAACTTCTTCCGCCAAAGAGATCGAAATCAGAATTAAATGTAAACTTAACAAACAAAAGGATATTTTTCTTTGCTAATTATCATTTCGTTATGTTTTTTTTTTTTTAAGCCTAAAAACCAATAAGATATGTTTCTTTCGTTATGAATAGCTAGAGTTGCAAATATTTAGCACTGCAGTTTCCGTATTCATATATAATAAACATATATCAATGAGAAAAGCCAATATCTTCTATATAATAAATCCATAGAATTTTAGTATTTTTTTATGTTTCATTTAAAAATGTGTAAAATAGAAAATTCTTCAGGTTCATGCGCTGCTCACCCCACCTTTGGGCAAGAAAATGTAGGAGTGAATCGTTTGTTGATGCCTGAGTTTGACAATGTCATTAATGCTTCAACTTCAATGCCCAATATTTAGAATGGTTAGGCTGAACTTATCCCTGCAAACATCTCCCACTCTAAAAAAATGGGTCCCCCACTTTCACATCATCCAATTTTACAAATCATCTACTATTCACACTATACCCCTGCAAATTCAATCAACCTTCAAAAGTGGACCCAACATATTAAAATAATATTATTAATTACATTAGAATATTAAAAAGTAAAGAAAAATAAATAAAAATAAAAAGTACAAAAGCTGCCGCGACAGCTTTTTCGGTGGATTTGCAAATTTGCTGAAATAGCAAATTTGCAAATCCCTTTGAATTAAAAAAAAATGAAAAATGGTGAAGTGGCTTTGCCACATCACTTTGCAAAGGGGAGTTTGAATTGTTTAGGATGTGGTCAGCCTTAGTATATAAATTTATTACATTTATCTTAAGAATCCGTTCTACATTTTAATTTTTATATTTTTAGGTACTAATTTGGACTTTGGTGATCAAACATATTCATGTGAGCATTGTGATGCTTTGTTTTGGTTGGAAGAAAGAATAAACAAAAAAAAATTATGGAGACTCAAGTTGGTTTTCTCTTTGTTGTACTTATGGGAAGATAAAGTTGTCTCCTACTTCCACTCCACCGGCTGCACTATTTGGATTTTTTTTTTAATAACGACGATAAGAGTATACATTTTTTACAAAATATTCGGATATATAACAATATGTTTTTCTTTACTTCCATGGGTGGAAAAATTGATATCACTATTAACCATAGAAGTGGTCCACCAGTGTTTCGGTTACATGGGCAAAATTTTCACCTAATCGGAAGTTTGCTCCCAGAATCAGGTTTCAGATCGAAATTTGCATAGTTATACATTTATGACACTCAAAATGAGATAAACAATCGTCTAAGTGCACTAGATTGCTGTGAATGAAGACTCTACTTGCAACATTAATCAAGGTAGTCCACTTGCTTAATTGATCGTAAAAGCAAAGTTGATCATATGGGATGAAGCTCCTATGATGCACAAACATTGTTTTGAAGCATTGGATAGGACAATGAGAGACATAATGCGTTTCTCAAATTCAAAAAGTTCAGAAATGACATTTGGTGGAAAAGCAGTTGTCTTGGGTGGTATTTTCAACAAATACTACCAGTTATTCTGAAAGGCACAAGACAAGATATAGTACAAGCCAGTATTAATTCATCTTATTTGTGGAATAACTGTGAAGTTCTTCGTTTAACAAAGAATATGTGTTTGCATAGGCTTACAACTGAAGAGGATGTTCAAAAGTTAAAACACTTTTGCGAATTGGATTGCTGATTTAGGTGATGGAAAACTAGGTGAAGACAACGATGGTGTATGCAATATAATGATTCCGAATCACTTTGTCTTGCAAATGTGACCCAATCAAAGAAATTGTTGATTGGCACATTTCCTTTGTACTGTAGTGGTCAAATGGATCCTAAACATCTTGAGTGTAGAGCTATATTAGCTCCAACATTAGATGTTGTTGACCATGTAAATGAATACATGAACGGTATGAATAAAGCATCTTCTAAGACGTATTTGAATTGTGATTCGGTGTGCAAGTCAGACACAAATGTTGATATGTTATCAGAAGTTCACACCACAGTATTTCTAAACAGTTTGTGGTGTTCCGGTGTCCCAAACCATTCTTTAACATTAAAGTTTGGATCTCCAATTATGCTTTTGAGGAATGTAGACCACTCATTAGGGCTTTGTAACGGCACAAGGTTGATCATTACACAATTAGACAACCATATCATTGAAGCTCAAATCCTGTGTGAAAATAATGCAGGTACAACTGTTCTTATCCCATGGTTGGCATTGACTTCTTCAGACCCAAGACTTCCTTTTAAATTTCAAAGGAAGCAATTTCCAGGGATGTTGTCATACGCTATGACAATCAACAAAAGTAAAGGACAAACGTTATCACATGTCGGTTTGTTACTAAAAAAAATTGTGTTTAACCATGGCCAGTTGTACGTAACAGTCTCGAGAGTTAGTAATCCTGATGGGCTCAAGGTTTTAATATGTGGTGATTCTAGAGGTTTTTTTAAACACTACACAAAATGTAGTTTACAAATAAATTTTCAATAATATGTAAAATTATTGTATTTTAAATTCCATCAAATTACCAAGACCATGTCATCTAATGGTACCCGAGTTGGACTTTCATTTGGAAGATTGTGATCAAGCCTTAGTGGAGGCATTATTGGCTGTAAGTCATTTTCCCCCAAAACATACATATTTTTCTTTGACTAATGCATCATTTTTCATTGACCTAATTTCTCCTATTTTGCCAAACACTGAAAACTCGAAAAATATTTTTTTAAAATCATTTTAAACATTTTCCGAAAGTCATTTTCCAGGTTTCCAAACGCGCCCTAAGTGTTAATCATTTTATATTTCTTAATTATACTATAACCATAACTATATAGCCGAGTTTCCAAACGCGCCCTAAGTGTTAATCATTTTATATTTCTTAATTATACTATAACCAGGGGCGGAGGCAGGATTCGTTGGTGCGGGGGGCCGATCAATGCGGTTGTCGTCGTGAACTAAGGAAACCAAAGAAAGGATTTAGGCATTTAGCTATCATTTAACTACTACAATATCTAAACTTTTTGTTGTTGTGAGGATGGATGAATCCATCTCCAATAAAGAATAATTCATAACAAAAATTCAAAGATTTCAAGAATAAAAAAGAAATGAAAAAGTACCTATGGATTTGCAGTTTGAAAATTGAAGAAAATCTGACTGTCTGCGTATTGCGTTTCTGGTTTACAAGTTTGGAATTTGGATCGTTGATATAAAACTTAGCAATCATTATTGTGTGGACCATAGTCCAGACAAACTGTGTGGACCATATTTTATATGTTATAAAATAACATTTAGTACAAAAATAATGTATTTTTAATATATTAATAATGTACATTTAGTATATTAAAAATGTACTTTTTATTATAGTTCACACAATAATTTGCCAAAACCTAGCCTAGAAATTTTTTTGGAGGGTAAAAAATTATATATATTGGGTGAGGGGAGTCACAAAATAACCATTATCTACAAATCTAATAAGAGCGAATAATGATAGGCCCTTAACTGGAACAAAAAAAGTGTCGGTACTAATTGTTTCTTAAAATGAATGGTTCATATTATTTTGATTTTAGTATCTTTTAATGATTTTCCTTATTTACCCTCTATTATATTATTTTCTTCCCTTAAATAACCCTAAATTCCGTTAGTTTAAACTTTAGTAACGGAATATTCCGTTAACTATTTATTATTCTTAACATACTATTAATTTATATAAGGTCTTAGGTTCGAACCTTATCCCAAGTATAGTTGGCATAATTGTTAAACATATATTATGAATAGAGTTAATACCCAAAATCGTCCTCGACTATAGTGATTTTTCTCAATTTCATCCTAAACGACTTTGGTGACCTAATATCGTCCCAGACTTTTGTGTTTCGCTCAATTTAGTCCCAGACTTTTGTGTTTTTACTCAATGTAGTCCCTCATTTGTTATTCTGTCCATTTGGTGTTAAATAAATAGACAATTCAGTAATTTTAATATGGCATCTCTTTACTCATAGACATGTGAACTGCGAAATCCCTTTTTTTTTTTACGAATTACCCCCAGAATTACTCCTAAAACTGCGAATATAAAATTTGATTTGCAGGTTCGGGAGTAATTCTGGGTGTAATTCGTACAAGAAAGAGGAATTTCTCACTTCACAAGTTGAAAGTAAAGAAAGATCAATATTGACATTATTGAATTGTCCCTTTATTTAACACCAATTTGACGGAATAACAAATGGATGACTAAATTGAACTTAACACAAAAGTCTGGGAGGATATTAGGTCACCAAAGTCGCTTAGGACGAAATTGAGAAAAACCACTATAGTCGAGGACGATTTTGGGTATTAACTCATTATGAATATGTTAAAATGTGTTAAAAAATATGTTATGCATGAAAACTTCTAAAGAAATTTGTAAGTTAATTTTTACTATATCATTATATTACTATCTATTGTTACCATATATTTTGAATTATTTATTATCATTCTCTATTGACAGCAATTGTAGCAATTGTCATGGACAAACTCTCAAAATAATTTGTCTCACCAAAGAATGGAAATTAAAAAAAATCATTGATTTCATAATTGTTGAAGAAAAGTATGTACTACAGTTTATTACTCTTATTAATTAAATAAATTAGTAGCTACAACAAAAAATAATACATATGCATTTAATTAATTTAGAATTAGATGTCTATAATGCTTTATTTAAAAAAAAAATCATTATAAAAAAACTTAAAAGAAATATAATTTTATTAGTTATATTATCTTTATTTTCTACAATTCAAAGATTCCTTACCTTCAAATTTATTAATTTATTATATTCACTACATTGTTCACTGTCTTCTTTTTTACATTATCTTGTAATTAAATATCAAAGTTATAATACAAAACATGATATATATATATATATATATATATATATATATATATATATATATATATTTATTTATTTATTTATTTACCAAGTATTTTATACAAATATAATAAATATTAATATTTTGTTCAATACTTTCACATGATAACCTACGACACACATCTCACAACACATGAAACATGAAGGGAAAAAACTACCACTACTAAATATCAATAGGTGTTTGTACGCTAAAGAGTTCATATTACAACTAAAATCTTAGTCATATACACAGCAAGACAAATCTAAAACTTCATACACCATAATCTCATTGCATGATGAATCCCTCTATGCTGCTACCAGTAACTTAATTGCACATGACACACTACCAATAAAAAAAAAAGAAAAAAAAAAAAAAGAGAGGACATGTACTAAAGATGAAAACAATAACAATGCTACCCAAAAGAGAATTAAGAAGAATTAGAGAAATTTAAACCAAAAGTAGTATTTATTTAGATTATCGCTTTAAGACTAAGTATTTAGACTAGCGTTATTACAAAGTTGTAAATTTTTATTTTAGTGACAATTATAATCAATCTCTCATATATTATCTTGCATTTATATACTTTAAATTACTGATTTAAATAAACAAATTCAACATTTATTTACCTATGCATGAACATCTCCTATATAATATTGCATTGATATGCTTTGAAATACTTATTTAAAAATAATTATTGGGCATTATCCCATTCGCACAAGGCGTGTAAAAAAACTAGTAATATTAATAAAATTAAAACAAAAAAAGTTTGTGTAGAGGGGCCAAGCCACCATTGGAAATAGGTAATTGCTACTCTATATACTAATTCTAGAATTTGTTTTGAGGTTTTGGGGGGCCAAGGCCCCCTGCTCATATAAGGTGGCTCCGCCACTAACTATAAGAGCATCCACACCAGTGGATATTATAAAGTTATTGTGAGATGAATTATCTTGGGTGAGGTTAACTAGGACTATGTGGTCTAATGGTACTCGGGTTGGACTTCCATTTGGAAGGTTGTAAGTTCGTTCCTCAGGAACACATACTACAATGTACAAAAAAAAGCTCTGCGCACAGCCCATCACTGCCATCAGTCCTTCCCTGCTTTGACAAGCCGCACGTCTCTTCTCATCCATCAATGGCAGAACGTATTATCTCACATCCTCCTTACCCAACAACAGCCTCGACGAATGCTTCTTTATTCAGTGATTCTTGTCCTCCAAGAAATCTTCAAATGTGGCTGGAACGGGAAAGAGCTCAAGATCAGAGGAGGGCTTTGATGGCCACAAGAGCTTAGGTGAATTCTTGGAGATTGGGTAGGGCAGAAACCGGTGGTTTTTGATCGGCGTTGAAACACCAAACAGAGGGACAGAGATCAACGTCCGGTTTCCTTGGGAGAGGACGGTGGAAACAGACTGATCCCCATGTTGGTTGTTAGTTGAAGAAGATCAGATAGGTTATCATCCACTGCACTCTTAGCTAGAATTGCAAATATTTATCACTGCAGTTTCCCTATTTTAATGGGTTGTATGTTTTTGTTTCTTATTTTAATTTGCTGAAGTCAACTATACTTGGGAATATGCATTTTGTATGATCTTTAATTTTGTGTATTGTACCATTGATGATTAATTGCTTTGAGCATAAAGAATTACTTATGTTGGATAAGCATAATTTCTCTGTACATGGGATCTCCTATCTGCTTTTCTTCTTTCAAGGGTAACCAATTTTAGTTTCTAAACATACCCATTAATGTAAAAGGAAAGAAAATAACTTTATAGAGTATTCTTTTTCAAAAAGTTGGTGGTTCAATTTCGACAGCCCGTCAGGCGTTATTGGGTAGAGGATGCACCGGCCCATTATCCTTCCACTGCAGAGAGGAGGAGGTTTTCGCTGCTCTGTGAAGAGAGCCTCACGCGGTGCCCTCCAATCTAAGGAAAAGGAATTTCGTTAATGATCGTAACAAACAGGATTATAGAGTATATCTAACTCTAACTGATCCTATTCAATAGCTAAACTAAGTCAAGCTATCTAAGCCACATAATATAAAATATATACAGGAAATAATAATAATCCACTTGGAACGGGCAAACTCTAACTGATCCTATTCAATAGCTAAACTAAGTCAAGCTATCTAAGCCACATAATATAAAATATATACAGGAAATAATAATAATCCACTTGGAACGGGCAAACCAGTAGATAGCAGCGAAGGCCCAGCCTTCAAGGAAAGGCCCACTGTTCCACCATCTTAATGCTCCCACTTGGGTTACAGGCTCACACTACAAAGCTCAGCAAGCAATTCTTCTAGCTACGGCCTTATTAAGAGAAAATATTTCTGCTCTAATTTCGATGTGGGAAATTGTTGGAGGACATGCTTGGCTTTCATCGCAAAAATGGAGCAGAGAACTGTGTGTGTGTGTGTGGGGGGGGGGGGGTTTTGTCAGCCATGTGATTTGCTTTGTATCATTGTGATGGAAATTGTATGATATTTGTTGAAGGCTAGGGGGGCATATATGTGAAGCAGAGACATATATAGCCTGGAAGCTTTAATTTGCTTAACTGAGTGAATGGAATGGCAGAGATGATTGGGTTCTTCTGGCAGCATCCAATCACACCCTATAAGCTTTGCTTCGTTTTGATTTCCATCTCACATTAATTGTGATTTGAGATAGGTTATATTATGCATACATATTTTTTGTGATGCTAATTTGATCCTTTTATGGATACTAAATGTGAAAAGTTAGCATCAGATGTTGTTGCCCAAAGATGACTTTCATCCATCTTGATTGTTGAGTTTGAATCTTTCTCTGTTTTAATGGCTTAGGCTATCTTTCTATTCACTATACTATTGTCCACTGGTCGGAAATTGGAAAGTTAATGGCGGAGCAGGTTCTTCTATCTCTCTCATGTATACACACTTGCACTTTGAATCTGAATTGATTTATAGAGAAATCTCAAACATTTCGGTTTGTATTGCAGACTGAGAAGGCTTTCTTGAAGCAGCCGGGAGTTTTTCTCAGGTTTAGATAGGATTTATGTGAACGAACTTTCTCATAATATGCTCATTTAACCTACACGCTTATAGGTGCTTTGTGGGGTGGGTTTCTGTGAATGGTTTGGAAAGTCTTTGGTTAAAATTTTAAAGTTTCCGTTTTTATTGCAATCTGCTTATAGATGGTTCAACATTATTTATGATTTTGCACATTGGAAAAGCTGAGATGTAGTCGGTCGAGTTCTTGAATCACTCGGTAAGTTTATATCAAGACTTTATTTGCACTTGCCTTCGTTCTTCTAAGTTTGATTTTAGAATATCTTTGCACCATACCAAAATTTACAACTGCTACAACTCTACCTAATTTTTATTAATTTGATTTAATGTTGTAAAATTCACCGATATAAATTGATGTTTTCTAATTAAAAGTTTATTTATATTTTTTTTCTAATTATATTATCGTTAATTATTTTATATAATAATTTAAAAGCTTTAACTTTTAATTGACAAACACTAACACACCATGGCCTTCAATTTTTAACCTGTAAAATATAGACAACTACCTCATAGTTGAATTGCTTTTTTTTTTTTTTTAAAGCCTAAACCGTGATATGTTATACATTGTGGATTTTTATTATAAGGTAAAAATTGAGATTTTTTTTTTCCCACTTAAAATGAATAGCTAGATTTGCAAATGTTTAGCACTGCAGTTTCCCTATTTTAATGGGTTGAGATTAAGAAAATGCTATGTTTTGTGTTTGTTTTATTTAATTCCTAAAATTGTATGTTTTTGTTTCTTATTTTAATTTGCTGAAGTGAACTACTTGGGATTTTGTATGATCTTTAATTTTGTGTATGGTCTAAAAGTTAACAAGTTTGGTGGAGTTAAAATCAATATCAATTTGTGAGAGAGCTGCATATGAACACTTTACATTGTTAATATGAATTCTTGTTAAAAAAGAGAGAAAATTGATATTAATATTTTGATTTCTCCTTTATATCTTAAGTGTTTGCTGTGCTCTTTTAATTGCAACAATCTATAATTGATGTGTACAGCTACAGCTTACTCGATCAGATATTCAGATCCGGGAGAATGTGTATCATCTTTTCATTGTTGTACGGGCTCTGTTGGGCTGTGCACCGGCCCATTATCCTTCCACGGTAGAGAGGAGAAGGTTTCCGTTGCTCTGTAAAGCCACCGGGAGAATGTGTATCATCTTTTCATTGTTGTACGGGCTCTATTGGGCTGTGCACCGGCCCATTATCCTTCCACGGTAGAGAGGAGAAGGTTTCCGTTGCTCTGTAAAGCCAGCCTCACGCGGTGCCCTCCAATCTAAGGACCAGGAAGCCTCTGCCTTCGCAAAGAATCCACGACACAACTCACCACTTGGAACGGGCAAGCCAGTAAATTGCAACCAAGGCCCAACCTTCAGGGAATGGCCAATTGTTCCACCATCTTAATGCTCTCACTCAGGTTATAGGCTCATGCTACCAAGCCCAGCAAGCAATTCTTCTAGCTACGGCCTTATTTAAGAGAAAATATTTCTGCTCTAATTTCGATGTGGGAAATTGTTGGAGGAAATGCTTGGCTTTCATAGCAATAAATGGAGCGGAGAACTGTGTGTGTGTGTGTATGGGTTTTGTCAGCCATGAGATTTGCTTTGTATCATTGTGATGGAAATTGTATGATTTTTGTTGAAGGCCAGCTTGGGGGGCTTATATGTGAAGAAGAGACATATATAGCCTAGAAACACAACCACTTAGTAGCCCTAAATTGTGAGCAGCAGGACTTAATCCATTTCTGCATTTGCTGCAATCCAAAATTACATTTTATGTAGTTGTGTATCCGAGTACCTTACGGATTGGATGAGGCAAATCTGCAAAAAAAGCAGAAATATTAGTTAGATTAGAATAGTTGTAGGTTGAAGATATGTGCAAATATGTATAGTATTACCTCTGCAAACATGAGAAGCAGTGTGAATGTGTGATAGAGACAAGAATTGCAGCCCAGGAAGGGAGAAGGCTGTCCAAGAATATGGGAAGCTAAGAGACTACAGAAAAGAACAGTGAAGAGAATCAAGAAAACGAAATAATGTTAACAGACAAACAGAACTAACTGCTATCAAGAAAATGATGTTGTTCTGCAGACCTCCATTGCCAGCCCGTTGGCAATCAAGAGTGTGCAGAACAAAAGGTTCTGCCTTTTCACCACCGGGAGGATCTTAGCTGCAAAAAGAAATACTTTAGACATCTGGTTTAGAAACACACATACAAACCAGATATCCATAGCCATTTTACAAGCATGAGCGCGGTCTCTGGGGTGCCCGGACTTGCTGAGAACTTCAAGGTCAACGAGGCTAAGAGATATGAGGCCAAGGGTGAGGCCAGCAGTGAAACCTGTGAAAGCCACCAACCCCACACAGACAAACACGTTTAACATGAACTTTGGACCACAACCTGGGATGTCAGGTTTTTCCTCCCTCATTCTAATCTCCTTGTTGAGTTTCAAGAAAATAGAATCCTGCTATGGTGCTGTCATACAATCCCAGAAAATGCGCTATAGCATGAGGTTTTCTTGTTTCCTTAGCCACACAAGAATGGCTCGGAGAGAAACACAAAAAGTTCAAAAGCCACTCTATCAGAGCCAAGTTTCAATCTTGGGACCTGTGGGTTATGGGCCCACCACGCTTCCACTGCGCCACTCTGATTTGTTGAACATTAAACTATTATTTTGTGAAGCATGCTCCGGAGGAGATTGATCCTTCCCCGAGTCAGTCCCGTTAGAAAGGGGAGGGGTTTTATATCCCACAGCTTTTCCTTTTATCCACTATAAATAGAAGATTTCAATACTTTTAAGACTTGCACAAGATGGAGCGGAGCTGTTGGCCAATTCACGATTGTTTTATTTGTATTATAAATACAAATGTTCGTACATCTACTAAAGACATTAAAATTGTAGTGAAGCACCTCAGGGGACTAGATTAAACCAAGAATTTATTTTTGACAGAAGTGACAATAAAATGAAGCATGAATCACGTCAATTAATAGAATTTTGTATTGCAAAAATTATGTTTGGGTACTACCTAGTGAGGGTGTTTCCCTCTAAATATTTTATTGCACCAGTTAATTTAATGAAAATTTATACCACAGGTCATAGTCATGCATTCTTGAAATATTTGCTTTTATGAAAAATTTGATAATCCTGCATTAATATTCGCCAGTCGAGGACCAAATCGGGTAAAAACCCAATTAACACTTAGGACCAAATCGGGTAAAAATGGCATAGTCAAGGATGAAATTGAAGAATTTTGGAAGTCGATGACCAAATTGATGAAATCCTCATAGTCGGGGGACCAAATCGGTTCCCCTTTTTTTAAACGAAAAATTATATGCGCAGCAAATGATGTATGAGTCTTCAACCGCAGCCAATTTCCAAGGCAAAAAAACAACATCATTAGGATGGTCCCATGGTCTAGTGGTTAGGACATTGGACTCTGAATCCAGTAACCCGAGTTCAAATCTCGGTGGGACCTTAGCAAGGACTATTGCATCTTTAATTTTTAATTTGGACGAAAAAGACATTTGACTTTGTAATTTGTTCTAGCAAAGGTCCTTCTGTTATCCATCCATCTCTTAATTGTCCTACTTGTTTTCCATGAAAAACAAAATACCAAGGGGGGACCATGGAAAATGTTTTCCATGAACCAAACAAAGGAAAATCTAGTTTTCCTCAAATTCAAGGAAAACATTTTCCATGAACCCATGCCTAAAGGAAAATCGTATTTTTTATTAAGATGAATTAAAATGTATAAAATTTTACTACCTTATTTAATCTTATCCCTTAAATAAACTAGAAATTCCTCTATCTTCAGGAACTCTATCAACAATAATGGTTAAACTAAAAGTACATCGAGCAAAACACCTAAATGATAATTCGATCATTATCTTATGTAACTACTTTTAAAACTCATTATTAAAAATGTCAATGTAAGGTAATAGAACATCGTGACACACTTGACGCATTAAAAAGATGACGAGACTACAACAATGCTGCAATCAATTTTGCAAATTCAAGAAATGAAGAAATTTTTTAAAAAATAGCCACTGTTGCGACATTCACTGATCCTTTATGTAAAATGCTAATTGTATATTCTTTAAATATTTTAAAACTAATACTCCGTATAAATTTACAATTCATTTCATTTTCTAAACTCAACTTACTTGGATTAAAGGCAAAATAAGCATTAACCTTGACAACAATAACACTTGGTATATGGAATGTAGTCACTGTTTAAAAAAGATTTATGCACAATGTGTCAAACTATTTAATTGCATGCATTGTGGTGAAAAAACAGCAATGGGTAGTCCTAGCGTTTTTACAAAGTTGTAAACATTTGTTTTAATGGCAATTATAATCAATCTTTCATATATTATCTTTTATTCAAATATTTTGATTTATATATTTAATAAACAAATTCAGCATTCAATTACCTATGCATGAACATCTAGTATATAATCTTGCATTGATATACTTTGAAGTACTTATTTAAAAATAAATATTGAGCATTATTCCATTTGTTCATGCGTTTAAAAAACTAGTAAATATATTATAATAATGGATATTTGCACTACTGGAAATTATGGAATTTCCGACCACCTGAAAATGATCTAAATTAAATTGATACCAAAAAGTCCAAAAAGTGGTCGAAAATAGCAACAAAGGTTTTTCCGGATACCAAAAGTGGTTGGAACAAGACTTTCGACTTGATATAAGATCACTTTCAGGTGGTCGGAAATTTCATAATTTCCAGTAGTGTTGGTTTGACTCCTCAATGTAAATAACATATTTAATTTTTTTTTTCCCTTTTAAATTTTCACCTAAAACATTATGTCTCGCCATCCTACTTTCTATATTTATATTTTAAATGTATTTTCATATAAATTAACACATTCCATCAAACTAAAAATAAAAAATAACACATTCCATTAACTCATTCAATTCGGTGCAGCATGGTGTTGGCAGTCCAGAAGTTTGGTTACTACCGCCAATTGGGGCTTTGAAATGTAATGTGGATGCGTCTGTGTCTGATAGATGTACTGTCATGCATCTTGGATCCTTACTTTGTGGAAGCTATGGCGGTCAAAGAAGTTCTTACTGGGTTGAAGATGGAACTGAGAGTGCTTATATTGTGGAGTTTAATTGTTTAAATTTTTGCATTGGTTTAGTTAATTCTGTTAGTCAGAACTTATCGTATGTTGGTTTAATTATATTGTTCAACAATGTTGGTTAATTGCTAGTGACATTGGTAACATTTTGGTTCGTCATGTCAGAAAGTCAGCGAATCATGTCACTCATGTGCTTGCACGGATTGCTGGTTCTCCCACTGTCCTTTAGGTGTGGAGCTCTTCCCCTTGATTGTATTTCGAATTTGATTTAATGCAAGTTCCGTTGGTTTTCAATAAAATAAATAATAAATAAAATAGAATACTTTGTAAAAATTTAATTTGGTCATCACTATAGATGAAATATAATGGAAAGAGTAACATGCAGTGTTGCAAAGATCCGCCAAGGCACTGATAAATCGATCCGAAGGCACTAGCTAGGCGCCAACCGCCTAGCGTATCACCATAATTGGTGGTCCCCGACTAGGCCGCCTTGGCACTGACCGCCTAGGCGGGCGATTAGTTATTGTCCCATTCTTTTTTAAATGGGTTATTTCAATCAAAATGACATCGTTTTGAGCGAAATAACCTTAAATTGTTCAAACTTTACATGTTTTTTTAGGTTAATATTTAATATTCTAATATTAACTATTAAAGTATTAAATAGTTTATAATTATCAATTCTTAAAAATTTAAATAAATTTAAATTTTTTTTTACCTTAGGCGCTAAGCGCCACCCGAGCGCCTAGCAATTTTTTCAACCATAATAACAAGTAAATTGAAATAAGCTTATCAACTTGAGTTTCAAAGCTAAATTTGTTGACCAACACCCAATTGCTCATCACCTTGTCTATACATATTCTTGGCGTATTAATTATTGGAGGTGTTCATTCAATTGATAATTGAATCAAATTTTTAAAATGTTTTAACCATGATTTGCGAATTTGTAAATTATTTTAACTGTGATTTACGAAAAAGTGAAAAATCATAAATGCTATTGGAAGGTGCATTGGACGAAGCTTATCTTTATGTGATTATACTGGAGCTGGTTGAAATTAAACTTGTGATTATATATCAATATATGTATGTGTTTTTAAAAAGAACAATATTAATTTAGATACAAAATTTGTATTTAACAGCGGTAAGTAAACTTTTAACAACTTTAATTTTATAAATAATCATATAGTATCTATATCTATAAAATTTATTGCTAATAGGTTCAATTATATTATTTTAATTGT